AATTTAGGACTTCACACTTTAGTACTTATTATTATCATTTTTTTTTTTTTTTTTTGAGTGTTGAGTTCCCTTAGGCTTTCTAAGTAATTACCCATGTTTAATGAGCTTTCCACCAATGACTTCCAAACCAGTTGGCTTTAAGGCATTAGGTGAAGAGACACCCTTAAGATTATACTTAAATAACAAATGTCACAAAACATTCAACGCTTTTTTTTTAAGAGCTGCTCAACTCATCACTTTTTATGTGAATGATAATGCTTGAACTAGACACCATTGCCCAATTATGTCTTAATTTATTGAACATTCTTTTATTTTTATTTTTTTCAATTTTTCATTTTCTTTTATGTGCTTTTTAGATGCTACTAAGTATTCTCTCTAAACTTTCCACCGTTGTACCTATGATTTTGATGATTACAAAACACATTAGAGTGACTAATTAGTTTATTTAAGTGTGTAGTTAAATTGATAAAAGATTGAAAAGTAAGTAAACTAAGATTGCACTAAAAAGAATCAAAGAGACTGGATATTGTGCAGAGAGCCAGCTTAAAGAAATCTACAGCTGGCTCCAAGATCTGCAGCCAACTCTCTGGGTAAAAACTTGGTTAAATACCCTTTTTGGTCCCTTTACTATAGGAAAAAGCCCTTTTTTAGTCCCTGTACCGAAAAAATCCCTTTTTTGGTCCTTACTATTCACAAATCTAGCCCCTTTTTAGTCCTTCCGTTAAATTTTGGCTTAGGTGGCAGGTTAATTAACGAGAAATTTTATTTTTTTTCTTTACTTAAATTACGTGTGAAATCCATCTGGCAAAACTCAATGACATGGCCAAACTTTTTATCTTTAATTACTAATTTACCCTCATTTTCTTCCCCCATCCTCTCCTTCCTTCAGCCTTTTTTTTTCTTTTTTTTTCTTACCTTTAGGCGAACCCAAGGGCCTGGGTTCGTCGCGATGAACCCAGCTCGTGGGTTCGTTGCAAACCCAAGAGCCTGGGTTCATCGCGAACCCACAAGCTGGGTTCACGACGAACCCACGAGCTCGATTCATTGCAAACCAAGGCTACGTTTGTTGTGAATCTAGGCTAGGTTTGTCATGATGAACCCTGCTCGTGGGTTTGCGACGAACCCAGGAGCGTGGGTTTGCGACGAACCCAGGAGCGTGGGTTTGTGACGAACCCAGGAGCGTGGGTTCGTGATGAACCCAGCTCCTAGGTTCGTCGCGAACCCAGGCTCTTGGGTTCGAGACGTGGTCCTCTTGTGGTTGTCATAACTCAAATTTTTAATAGAATTTTAATTTTAGTGTTATTTTTAGTCTTATTTTTATTTTAACTAATATGCTTTGTCTTTATTTTCCTTGTTAGGCTTACGAACAAAAGAGGATTGGAAAAGGGAGATGAAGGAGTTTAAAATGAGGGACTTAATTGAAGAAATGAAAAGTTG